CCGCCACCGGGCCCCCCTGCTGTGGTCGCCTCGCCAGCCCACTCGGCTTCGCCCCCGGCCGTCACCGTGGAGCCCCGGAAAGCCCAGATCCCGCTGATCCCCATGAGCGACGCCAGGAGCGACCTGCTTGCTGCCATTCGCAGGGGTGAGTTGGGCCAGAGGGCAGGTGGGGTTGGGTAACAAGTAGCACGCGAAGACAGGGACACACGGATGGGACACCGTGTAGGAAAACAGGAGGAGATGGGCCCTCCAGGGAGACAGGAGTTATTTGAAGATAGGAGAAGCAGCAGAGAGAGGCTGCACTGAGCCATCATGAATGTCAGGAAACACCACACTGAAATGTATTCATTGATCTTTATTACACATTCTTTATAGAATCATTATGGTTGGAAAAGACCTTCAAGATCATCCTGTCCAACCATAAGCCCTTCAATACCAGGCCTGCTAAACCATGTCCCTAAGCACCTTTTCTACACATTTCTTCAACCCTGCCAGGGATGGTGACTCCCACTTCCTCGGTCAGTCTATTCCAATGCTTGACTACTCTTTCCATGTAGAATTTTTACCTAATATCTAACCTGAATCTCCCCTGGCACAACTTGAGGCCATTTCATCTGCTCCTCCAAATTTCTGGGAATATGGAGAAATTAATCACTAGAGACACTTTTATCTTGGTGCGCTGCTAGTTCAGTATGGTTGCATGTTTGATGGATGCACTAGCCCTAAAAATTTTCCACATTTTCTCATGCAGGAATTCAGCTCCGGAAAGTCCAGGAGCAGTGGGAGCAAGAGGCCAAGAAAGAGCCTGTGGGCAATGATGTGGCTACGATCCTCTCCCGACGGATCGCAGTGGAGTACAGTGAGTCCGATGATGACTCAGAACTGGACGATAACGAGTGGTCTGATTGAGAGAGCCTGGGATGCTGTGTTGGATGGTAGCTCCTCCACTCTATGCACCAATTTTCCACACCAGGTGCGTATAGACGCCTTCCTCAAAAGTCAATGCCAACCATGGTCTGCAATTAGCCCCACTTATTCAGGAGCTTTGCTTTTACACTATGTCAAAAAAAAAATCTGGCAGCATTACCGCTGGAGGATATGTATTGGTAGGATACACTTCTGAGGCAATGGTAACAATTAGCAATTAGCAGCACCTTCATGTTTAGCAACGTTGAAAACACTATGAAGCCCCAGTAAATAGAATTACTCAGATTTACACCTGTGTAAGCAAGGTCAGAGGCTGGCCTGCAATATCTTTTTTAGAGAAAACTGAGACCCAACAACGTTTCTTCGGCTAGATGTTAAATTTGTAATGAGAAGCTACTGGAAAAGAAACCTGTTTCGGTAGCTAATATCACCATCTGGTCATGGTCATTTAGACTGTCAGGCACTTGTTTGCATTTTGCTCTGGTGTCCAAAGTTGTGGCTTGAAGGCTGCATGAGCCAGGGCCGGTCTCCGTTTGCTGCTCTGGAAGTTGCACGTGGACCCATGCTCCTTTTCCCTGCAGTTTCACAGCAGTCATGGGAGGAGGTCACTGTGTGCGTCACTCTCTGGAAGACTGCAGGAGAGGACCAAGACCTCTGTGATGTGTTTCCATACTTGGGGCCACTTTTCTTGGGGAAAAAGAGTGTGAGGCAAGGACTGCAAAAAAACACATTGAGAGCTGCTCTTTCACAGTTAGTAAGGAAACAAGGCATTTGTCACAGCTTGGAGAGGCGCCGTGTGTGCTCTCCTTGGGGTGGGGAAGTGGGCTACCTGCGAGGAGCAGGAGGGCTGCCTTGCCTAGGGTCTTTTCCTGGAGTCCAACTATTATTGGCCTTAGTGCTATATGATTTTATTTTTGTTTGAAAATAAATTAATTAGATAAAATGCTGCTTGTAGGTAAACCCAAACCCTTGAAAGGAAGCAAGAACAAAGTTTATTCTTGTTCTCTTGATTTGCACTTTGTAGTTCCACAAACTGTGCTGGTGCGGTTGAGAATAACTCTGATCTGGTGCACTGATTACTGCAGGCCTGATTCTTCCACTTCCTCTTCCTCCCAGAGGGTCCTGGGGGTGGCGTGCAGCAAAGCGAGGCACTGACGAGGGAGCCTGGCAGAATCAGGCCTCAGCCACGATGCTGAAAATACCAGCGCGTGTTCTTTGGTTGGTTCATCAAAATAGAGAGTGATTCATAGAAGCCTC